AACACCACATTTTACAGAATAGGTACACCAGAAGCAAACTTGACATAGCTGCTACAATTTATAAGTAACACGGAACTGTTGGAAGCTTTCAGTGTTACAATATTCCCATATTTTACAAATTTGTCAACTCACCCTAAAATATTCTTGATATTTGGGGTTCTTGGTTTTGCTCGGATGAAGAGTTACCACCATTTTTAGTAACGTTTCAGAGAAGCAGGAAAGAGAAAGGAGGGGCACAAAGTCAGATTCTAAGGGCAGAAGGGACCACCAGATCATCTGGTATGACCTCCTGTATATCACAGGCCACCAACACCACTCAGCACACGCACACTAAATCCAACAATCAAAATTAGACCGACGTATTACAGCCCACAGGAGACTAGACTGTTATGGCAGAGAATAGGAGGGATCAAGGTGGCCCTGTGCCCAAGGTCCCCTGCATTGAAAGGGAAATAATTAAATGCAATATACACAAAAAATCCTGGCAAGTGACCTGCATCCACACTCTGCAGAGGAAGACAACCTCCCCTTCACCCCCACCCAAAGTCACTGCCATTCTGGCCTAGGGGGAAATTCCATCCCAACCCCACATATAGCGATCAGTTAGACACTAAGTATGTGAGCAAGAACCAGCCAGCTACGCAACCGAGAGAATGCTCAGTGCCACCTCAAAGCACTGCCCCCCCTCCCCATCCAATGTCCATCTCCAACTGTCACCACCCCGATGCTTCAGAGGAAGGAGACAAAAAAATCCCAGAATACATTAGGGGGGAAATTCCTTCCTGACCTCTGCAGGTGGCCAGCTGAAACCCTGAAGCATAAGCTTTTTGGAACATAAGTGAAGCCCCAGGTCTGTTGAGTCCTGGCCCCTACCATCACAAATAACCCCATCATATAATTGCACCTATACATTTGTCCAACTCTCTCTTAAAACAAACCAAGGTTATGGTACTTCTGATTATGAACTCCCCATTAACATAGCCCATGTACTACATGGTAGGGAAGATATTTTTGCCCTTGCAGTACTGGGATGATGCTGTGTCCTTTGGTAAATTTTAATGCGCGTTTCTGTCATTGCCACCACTTCTAGGAAGGACATTGCAGTGCCAGAAAAGCTGACCATTTGGTGCTGCTCTCCCTGTGTGAATGGGCAGCAAAGAACTCAGGGAAGGTTAGGCTGGGGGGCCTCCTGGGATCAGGAAAGCATAATGGTGGTATAAAGTTGTCTTAGCCTCTCTTCGCCCTGGCCTGCAAGTTTTGTGCTGCAAGAGTCTGTCAAATTCACCTTATCCTCCTTCGGTTGCCCTACAGGTCACAGCACTGCCTAGAATCCTTGCAGTACCATGTGCTGTGATTCTGCCCTTGAAATACCCTTCCCATCTCCATCATGTCTCTTTCTACCCCTTATGTCAGGGTTGCAAGGGGTCCTTGAAAGTCAGCCTTACAGCTGACTTCCACAGTATCTAAGTTGCAGAAATCCTCCCACCAGATGAAATCAGGATTTTAGGGCCCTTTACACCACTCCAGTCTATCTACTCTGGAGCAGCAGTGAGAATCTCGCCCTTCAAATGAGGGATGTGGAAGAGTCTGAGGCTGCAATCCTCACCTGCTGTCAAGGAGCATACAGAGCAACTGGAGGAGAGGTGGAGGTTGTCTGCATAAGTGGCTTTAAGTCCTTGTTCCCTAGAGCTCAGGCTGACAATGCGCTGGGCTGGTCTCCCTGCTGCCAAAAGTCCCCAGGTTCCATTAGACAGCCAGGAATCATCAGGACAGAGGGAAGCCCTGGCTACTCTCCTGTTCCCCTGGCCACACCCAATTCACCAGCACCAGGGAATGTGCATGGGATAAGAGCTGCTACTTTGGCTTTACATCTCCAGATGATCCCCTAGACTAGGGTGAACCTCCCGTGACAGGCTAGGGCAGATTGAAGGCTGCTGCACCAGTAGAGCACCACTGGGATTGTCTGAAATGCAATTTAAGATTGAGCTTCACCATGCTGGGATGACTGACCTATGAGTTGTCTGAGTCTCTTCTAGACATTCCAACATTCAGAAAAATTTGCCTAAGTAATGTTATATTTTTGGCACTGAGAGCTTCTAAATGAAACTTTGGCTTGGAGCATAAAAAAGTGTAAAGAACACATGAAAAAGGTTTTTTTCTTGTGTACTTCAGAACACAGTGCTCAGGCCAGCCCGCTGAGTGGATGTCAACTATCATTCTGTTTGTCCCTGGTAACATTTTACATCATCTATCAATTATGAAAAGAAAGAAAAGGCTGAGAATTCAAGCTCTATTTGCGTGCTGGAGTTGTTAACTGCAGTGTCCCAGTAAATCCATTTTGATTTCCGTAAGTGTAAGCTTACAATACAGTTTACAAAGAAGGATGGGCTTGAGTCAAAATTCAGATTCAAACAACCCCCAAATATTTTGGAGGTTTCGAATCTGATCCTGGATCCAGTATTGAGCTTTGTAGATGCCCTCCCTCACTTTTATGGGATAATCTCAACCCACCATTCAAAAGTGGGGGTGGGGAGAGAGGTTCACAATACAGAGCTGACATTTGTGGTTTAGGCACATCTACAGTTTTAATATATTTTGAACTTTCCCCCTCACTTGACAGATGTTTTAGGAAGACACTGACAGTAAAGCAAGGCTGTAAAACTGTCAGAGTAATATAGGCTCTCTGTGAAGAAGTGAACATAAATATACTCTAATTGCTGGAAAAGAATGAACTAGTTGGTTTTCAAGTGTTCACATTCCAAAGAGTGTCATTTCCCAACATGCTGTAGTGAGTCATGCACTCAGATGGTTTACAGTAAAACTCAGTGTGATAGAGGCAGGAGATACTGGGCCCAGCCCAACACTCCCTACTCAAGCGTAACTTCCATAGAAATCAAGGGGAATGGAGTCAAGGAGGAAGATCGTTTTGTTTCCTGAAGCATAGACAAGGAGGTAAAAGAAATGCTGCTCAACCTCGGTTGAGCAGCAATGGATCTGTAGACTCCCTCCAGGACCCTGCTTCAGGGCCAAACAAAATATTGGAAGCCAATCAGAGGTATTGGGGCTGGAGACTCCCCTTAGTCTCCTGCTCAGTCTGAGTTGGGCAGAGCAGTGGGAACAAAACACTTGGCCTTAGTCTCCATGGGGCTGGTGGCTGTAGCAGGTGCCAAGCAGGAGGCCCTCAAGATTCCCCTGACCCCTTCAGTAGGACCAGGGAAAGCAGCAGAAGCTGAAGATATGCTTCCTGACCCCATGGAAAGCACTGAGATTAGTGGGGCTGGAGGCTTCCTCAGGTTTCCTCCAGGGGGGTGCATGAAGCAGCTAGGGATGGAAGCCCACACATACCCTCTCCATGGATCCAAGGATCACCAGGGAGCTTGCAGTAGTAAAAAGATGGGGAAGGCCCAGGGAGCTACTCTGTCAGTGGCAGATGGGAAAGAAATTGTCACTCTCTGGAATATCTCCATAGTGCCGTCGAACCTTACAATCTGAATAGAGAAATCAGACATAGGAAATGTTATCATCCCCATTTCACATACAGGGAACTGAGGTACAGAGAGATTAAATGCTTGTCTAGGGCCACATTGATTGTCTGTGGAAAAGTCAGGAAATGAACCCATAGCTCCTGAATTCCAGTTTACTGACTTAACCACAAGACTGTCTTTCCTTTCAAGATACTTGGAGTCTTTGAAATTCACCCATATACAAAACAATCCAAATGATTAAAGCTCCTTTAATCTAAAATTTGTGAGAATTTCAAACTGTACTATTTTTTGTAGCTGGTTCTTCTTCTGGAGAATTAGAGGAATATTAAGTTGATCTTGGCCAAATCACACACCGCAGATAATTCGCAAACAGCCTATAGGCTGATATATATTCACATAAAACATTTGTTGGACAATTCACATTAATGAAAATCAAAATGTTTGAGTAAGTCACAATGGGAAAAAACTAAATTAATCAGAAACTATTCAATAGAATTGCAATATTTTCCACCTCCATGAATGAAAAGCTACTGAATAGACATACTGAGAAAGAAATTTAGGTTCATACACCTGCACATGAAAATATTTTCAAAACTTTTATTTAAAAGACCCCCACAACTTTTAAAAAACACCTTAGGACTCTGGGAGGCAGGAGCAGAGATCAGATTCATGTTACTCCCAATGCTGGTCTGAATCTCCATGCTAGTAATAGAAGTTCATAGTATGCACATGCTGTCAATTCCCATAAATATAAGGAAGGCTGGATTTCTCAAGATATTATGAAGCCTTTCTCTGCTAGATCATTGATTCAATTCCACCTGAAGTTTGTAATAATTGCAAATCATGACAGCCTGCTGGAGTTTGCTAGCTTTCATGAAATCAACTGGAATATCAGTTCAGATCACAGTGGACTAACATCCACAATACAGAAACCACACTCACAATTAGCATTTGGCTATTCCAGTCTCACATACATTGAGGTGAACCCTCCAGATCAGATTTAAGGCATATTGATATGGCAGAATGGGAAATATTTCACTGTTGCTGTTCCAGAGAGACAGCTCTTAATCTAGCACCATTCTTAAAGCACCAAATTCTTTGTTTTAAATGAAACTATACCTTGTTCTTTTATAAATGATAACAATATCTTGGGCTTCATTCTCATTTACACTGTGGTGCCATTAAACACCACTCCAAAGAGGGATACTTACTGTAAGGGCCCTTTTACTGCTCGAGTGGTGTTAAAAGAGGCCTTAATGGAAATGAGAATTAGGCCCCTTACCTTACATTGTATCTCACTTCATCCACACTAACACGGTGTGGTTCCTTGTCCCCACCTTTTGTCGCACGCTGTGCTAACATAGGTTATTTCAGCACGCCATTTCATAATCAGCGCAGCATCTAGACATTTCACAGCACTCTTCAATATCTTTTGTAATTTAATTTAAATGTGACTGGAGAGAGTAACAGCTAAACCAAGAATTCCAAAAGGTACTTTAGAAACTCTACACCTACTTTCTCTGACGTCTTCATAGACCCTTCGACTTTCATAGTCACCATCTGGCATCTTCTCATTCCCTTTCTTGTTTTTCTCACCTTTCTTGTTGCCATTTTTAACTGTAGGATGAAAAGAAAAACAAGTTTTCCTTTTTTTCACTGTCATATGTATTTAACAATGGCTAATAACTACACAATGAATAAAACAGTTTGCTTCTGTATGATGGCATTCCAATCCTTCCAGTGCAGCAGATGTTTGGAATATTCTGTTATTCTTTTCCCAGGTCTGAGAACTATAGAAATATGGGTGCAAGGAATCAGAAGTGTCCTTTTCTGCGCTGCACTACGAAGGAACAGATATGCATTTCTTTCTTGCACGAATGGAATTCAGTTTTTAATATCTACACATGTGCCAGTGACAGTTTATTGCTCAATCCTCATCATTTGATCAAACATATAAGGGCCCCACCCAACACCTATTGAAGTGAACGGAAAGACTCCCCTGGACTAATGGAGTTGGATCAGACCTTAAAAGGGGTGAGTTTATTTAATCAGCAGTGATCCAACATCTTCAAAGACCACCACCAATATTCTCTCCCAAGGCAAGAATGCTCCCAAATCTGGGGAGCACAAAAGCAGCATTGTTCTGCACTTATATTCTGATGTGTTGCAGTGTCCTCCATACACAACCCTTCTCCTCTCCACACAGTTTATTCCTGCCAGGAGCATGAATAGTATGTTTGGTTGGGTTTGATAGAGGTAATTTGTAAATCAGGAGACAGGCTGACTATGATCATCTGCAGAGAACATTCAACAATCCCATCCCAACAGAAAAGAAGCCTGAAAACACTGTACAAATCTTTATGGCATGTCCCCTCTTAATTGTTTTTAAATATACCCCCACTCCGTTAGGCATTTGATATTAGTGCAGTATCCAGATTGTCCAAGAGTGGTTCTATGGAGAGAATAAAGGGGGAAATTTAGTGCTCTATTTCTCATCTGGCTTTGTGCCACTACAATGATTTCTGTCCATGTGTATCTGAGCTGGCCAAATGCTCCAAAGAGCTCTCCACCTGAATTTTAAAATGAACTCATGTCAGCCATGCTTGGACTTTTATGTCTACTTTCCATGAACATCCAGAAAGTGGAATATTAAGCTCTCACATTCACATATTCATACCAGGAATTATATAGATTATATAGCAATGGATGCTGCTTGACACAACAGGGAGACACTGCTCACCGGGGCCTTTGCATGAGACTTTAAAATGAGCCAGATAAGTATCTGATGCATCCTTTGAGTACAGGACAGCACATGCACAAGCAGCTCCTCTGTGTGAAGGTGATTTAAACTCTGCACTAGACGACAAATCTTCCAGTAGCCTAATTGTCACAGGAACGACGTGTCAGGCACCACTTGGGGTTTCAGGTGTATGGGGGGGTGAAGTCTCAAAAACTTACCTAACGTTTCCTGAAATTTTACTGAATGATATCAGCTTTGTGAACTAACTAAAACAGCAATTCTGCAGCCTATGAAGAAGCAACAAATTATATAATAATTTTTACTTTAAATGTCTGGACTGATAAATTGTTAATCAAGGGAAATTTTCCACGATTTCATTGCACTCCAATTTTTGGTTATTTTCTCGGTATCCAGGGACTATGTCCATTTCACAAGCAAGAAGGAGCAAACAGTCCAATCAACCATCGGGAAGTGAGGGGCAAGTGGTGGAATGTATTTAAGGAGACAGAAGGAGAGGTGTGGGTCCCACAGCTATGTCTGCAGGAATGAAGCCATGAGATATGTTTATGTGGGACTGGAGTGAGGAATGGGGTGAAGGTGGTTGGGGGTGACTAGAATCAGGGGGTGGCATAGAGGCTGTGGGGGACCAGGAACTGGAGTTTGGTGGGGGGGGGGATTTTTTGGGGGGTAGAGTGGGATCGAAGGGTTTGGGGGAGGAGATCCTTACAAATGGAGGAGATTGGGGTAGATACTCCTGGGGGAGAGTTAAAGGGCTACAATTGGGTGGGTCAAGGGCGGGGCAGGGGGGGATGGGCCTTACCAGATCTGATCCTGAGTCACGAAGTTGAAGTGTTGGCTGGGGTTGTTGTTTTTCTGATCCGTGCCCCCATTCTGTGCTAGCACCCTGTGGTGGCCAGTCTGGGACTTTCAATCTGGCTAGACACCTGGGACTGAGCCAGCCTGGAGCCAATCCATGCCGCCTCAGATGTTGTTAGGCGACAGCTGCAGAGCTTGGGCTCTTGAGTGGGGCCTGGGCAGGCTGCACAGTAAAAAAGGTCTGGCAATGGTAATGCCATTCCCCAGCCATCCCACCCCCATCCCCAAAACCAGCATCCCCTCTGCCCCATGGGCAGCATGCACAGAGTACTAGTGGCAGCGCCACCCCCGCCAGATGGCACCAGTAGCAGCCTGAGCTACTCCACCACTGCTGTTCTCCAGGGGCATGGGGAGACCACCTACCAGCTTGGCACTGCACTGCCTCTGAGGCTGCAACAGCAGCTGAATTCCCAGCTGGAGGACAAAATTTTACCGAATGTGTTGGCAGTGAGTGGGGGCTTCATCCCGCTCTGCCCCTGCCTTCCTTGTGGCACCTCTACCTGTGTGTCTCATAAAGGAAAAAGACTTCTTCACTACAGGCGCCAGCTTCCTCCGGGCCCCGTGGGTGCCCTGCCCCCACCCATCCCCTTCCCCGAAGCCTCCACCCCACCTCTTCCTGCCCCGCTCCGCCCTACCCTCCCCCTTCCGTCAACCCCCCCATCTCCACCTTGCCTCTTCCCGCCTCCGCTCTGCCCCAGGCCCCGCCACACCCCTTCCCTTAAGCCCCCACCCCGCCTCTTCCCGCCCAGTTACACTCCCTCCTCCAAGTGTGCCCCATCCCTGCTCCTCCCCCTCCCCCCAGCACCTGCTGCACGCCGCAGAACAGCTTATCACAGCAGGCAGGATGCACTGGGAGGGAGAGGGAGGAGTTGATTGGCGGGGCCACCGGCAGACGGGAAGCACTGAGAGGTGGGAGCTGGCTGCCGGTGGGTGCTAAGCACCCACATTTTTTTTTTCTGTAGGTGTTCCAGCCCTGGCGCACCCATGGAGTTGGTGCCTATGTTCTTCACGTTTTATACAAATAACCTAATGCTGCTTATATCTTGCTCCCTCACCATAAATTGCTACCTCTCCCTAAGAGAATCAAAGCTCACATGGCTTCTTGAAGTCCTCCTCCCAAACCTTAGAGTTACACTCATCCAATCAGAGAACAGAAACAATAGCATATAATTTATCTGACCAACCACAACTAAAAAGATCAGGTTGAATTATGAATCTGGGCTACTGGATATTGCTGACAAACTGTTCAAATTCAATCCATCATGCATGCAAATCCTCTTATTCTCTTCCAGAAAGTAGTACATTGAAATAATGAATAAACTGGAGCAAATCATAATCCACCACCAGCATTCCAGAAGCAGATTCAGTCTCATGCTTACCTCTCTCAAGTCTATTAAATGAAATCTTGATGTTTTTTAAAAGGCCCTTTTCTCACCTCAGATCAGTTTGGATATAGAGCTGTTATCCAAGGTAGTGTGCTAAAATGGGTTGAGTCCTTTCTGAAGGGACATACCCAATGAGAAGTGATGGAAAACTGCACCTCCACCACTAGACCCCTTGCTTGTAAAGTCCCACAAGGATAAGTTCTCTCTCTGCTCCTTTTCAACATCTACAGTCATCCATTAGGTGAACTGATCAAACGGCATGAACTCAAGAGCCAGCAATATGCCTATGGTACATAGGTCTAAATATTCTTCACCACATACAACCACACCACTTCCACCAAGATGAGCTCAGGATGAACAGCTGGCTGAAACTGAATACAAGCAAAACAGTGGTGATGCTGGTGGGCAGAAGGAAGAATTTGGAGGAGTTTGCAGCTACAGCGTATTCTTCTTTGGTTGAAGGTACTCATCCACATTTGGTCAGTTTGGTTCATGATCTTGGAATACTCTTGGATTCCTTACTGATGCTAAGTTCTAACAAAGCAACATCTGTGAGTAATGATTTCTATCATCTCTTGTTGGCTAGGAGACTGTCCCATCCTGGCAGATGATGGCCTGACCTCAGCTATTCATGCCTTCACCACTTCTTGGCTGGACTACAGCACTGCAGTATACCTGGGCATGAAGCCTTCAGTACTTAGGAAACTCCAACTAGTACAGAACTCTGCAGAGCATCTCCTCAGCAACACAGGCTACCGCAAGAACTTCAGGCTTGTTCTCTACTCTTTACGCTGACTTCCCATAGAATTTCAAATCAAGTTCAAGTCTCAGTCCTTATACTTGTCCCAGGCCATGGAGCTCCTTGAACATATCTAAAAAACGACCTGAAACTCTGAGTTGAAGACTGTGATCAACAACTACACCCCTCTGGCACAAAGGAAAGTAAATAAAGGTAAAGCTTGTCTGTGCAGGAGACAAAACTCTCTTCGGGGCTGATCTGAGACTTTAGAATAAATTCCCCCAGGAACTAAAGACCATCACAAATTGCATCGCCTTCCTATTCAAGTGCAAGGCATCCTTTTTTGACTTGCCTCCCCTAACACACACAGAGCAATGTGAATATTTATTTAAAAAACTACCAAAACAAGACACTCCACTACACATTTGCGCGCCTGGGGAGAGGATGAGAGAAGAATAAATGAGAGTTACGTAGTCATGTTACTTAATGCATTACTGGAAAATGCTCAGATATTACAGCCATGAATGTGGTGTAAGAACAGATATAGAATAGAATCCACTGAAGCCAATGGGACTAGTTGATTTCAAAGGGCTTTGGATCAGGTCCTAAACAAGCAAGAATGGAATTAGAAAATACAAATCCACTTGTGATGGGATCTGTCAATCCAACCTTTTACCTTCCAAGGATTACATGGTACAGTTGAATTTATAAGAGTCATAAGGGAGGCAAAGGGCAGTATGAGACTGATGTATTGTTATGTAACTCAAGTGCTCGCAAATACTGTTTTAATTAAAAAAAAAATCATAGCATAATCCTGGACTTTCCCACCTAAAGTCAATGGGAGACTTGCCCATTGACTTGAATGGAAATGGATTTG